CTCGTCGAATATTTCAGGCCTCCTTAAAGAGGATTTGTGCACTGAACACTTTCTTATTGCTGAAACTCCATTTCACTTGCAGTGTTGCAACATTAAATCGCACATAAATGAGTAAAGGTATGAGCTAATAGTTGCTCTCTGCTGCAGATTCAACATTGAAGTCCTGTTGAACCAACAAACAGAAACATTGGCTGGATGCTTAAATGTTCTTCATGCATTTTAACCAGTTAAGTCGGACTCCATTAGCCCCCCTCCGGACCTCTGACATAAGCCAACTCTTGTTCGTGAAAATTGAAAACACTGGAGCTCTGTGACGGCCTCTCTGTGTCTGTCCATCTTCACTCCCTGCAACTAAGGGCAGAGAGCTCGTCTGTCAGCAGAAACCCTGAGCTGCTGTAAATCACCTTCATGCTCCAGCTTGCGTGTTTGCGTGTGTGTGAGATGCTCGCTTGTTAGCTTTGTGCATTCATGTGTGGGTGTGCACGTGTGGGCGTGTCATTAGGGCCGCTGACGGCAGGAGCGTCCGTGCGTCTGCACGAAGCTCTCGCTCTTCTGACCTACTTTTCTTCCCGCCTCCCCACATCTGGCGCCGAGTGAGTGCACCCGATCAAATGCCAGCCATTCCAGCTGCTTTCACACTGGTGCAGCATTCCCCCTGCAGCCACCGCTTTCATTTTTCTGTTTACTTCTTGTTTTGGTTTAGCATAAGCAGGACTCTGGAAATTTGCTGTGTTGAGGTTAGGGAGAGGCAGCAAACTGTGTTGGTTTTGCCTCTCTCCCTTGCTTTTTTTTTTTTTTTTTTTTCCCTGTCATTGTTGAGTCAGCAGAGTGAAACTTGGGAGAGAGGGGAGCTAAGGACAATAAGTTTCCACTCAGCAGACAGCATTCAATTCATTTTGCAGACCAGGAAGCAGGTTCCCATCTACACTCTTACTAACGGCTCCCTTTAGGAAAACTAATATGGAAACTCGGATCCTTTGGGGTTGTTTTTCTTTCGCTTCATCATGTTCAGTTTCCTCCTGTGGTTTTGAAGTCAAAGCTGCTGCTTTGCGCAACAAAAAAAAAATTTAAAAATAGGTAATCGAAACAAGGTTGTAATTACAGCCGGGCTGCTGTGGACAGAACAGAATTTTTTAAAACGAAGATGATTATTTATCACATTGATATCTGTGAATAACATTTCACTCGTTTCTTCTTCTTTTATAACATGGCTTTATGAAGTTGTTTTGTCATTTTTATTAGAACTGAGATTATTAATTTTGACAAATTGATTTGGCAACTAATTTAGTTTTAACCTCTCTAAAAAAAAAAAAAAAAAAAGAAATTTCCAGAAAAAATAACATACTCAGAACAATAATTTAGCTAAAACGGTACTAATGTGTATATATTTTGCATTAAGATTAGAGAAATCTTTCGTCTGTTAATATTTTCTATTGTTATTTTTTAGCTGCCGATGTATCCGTCGCTCCAAATTGTTCAAACAAACACTAAAGGAATGCTGTTATTGCATTTTGGACGATGAAATGTTTTTTTTTTCTTCTTCTTTAAAAACGGATTGAATTACTTGCTTATTTGAAACGTATTTCTTGTATTGTGTAAAAAAGACTTCGGTGGTTCAATGAACAATGAGCAGAACATGCCAATGGTAAATGAGTTATTAGTGTTTTTGGTACATAGACTAAATATAGAATAAACATGTGCAAAGTTCAGTAGCTATTTAATTGTTTTCACAGCAGGTTTAATCATTTCAGTTCTTCACCTTCGTGTGACGAGAAAACAGAGAAATGACATAACTTCATCCAGCCTCACTCAGCTCTCTTCAAGCAAATAAACGCTGACAAATATGACTTGCACACAGCCTTGCTCTCACACAATAGAGTTGAGGAATATATTAATAGTGACCCATGCATAGCGACTGCATGGAGTCTCTAAACACAATGGCTCTTTGGAGTGTCAGAGTGTCGCATGCTTCCCTCCTAATGGCCCTGTGTCGTTAACTGACGCAGCGACCATAAAACATTTGACATCTTAAGAGCTTCACAAAGGTGAACGCTGTGTTTACGTTTGCCAGGTGGCACACGGAGGTCCTTGCATGCGCAGCCGTCGCATTTCTTTTAGCGTTTGTAGGCGCACGTTGCAGATGTTTCTGGAGTGGAACAGAGTCAGGCTGTCTCCTCTCGCCCTCCCTGCAGCTGTGTTGTTGTTCTGCGTGTGAGAATGATTCAGAGCGTGCAGACCAGTTCCTGCCTCACTATTTTGGTTGGTCTGACCTCGGGAAAGAAGCACTTCCTTAAGCTCGTCCCCTGCTTTCCTCCGTTTGCTCACAGAGGTTTGAGGGAGACATGTTTGGGTCTCCTCTGCTTAAAAAGCCATTTTACGTAAAAATTGTGCGGTTGAAAGCGTGAGCACAGGAAAAGCATACATTAGCGTTAGGTTACAGTTTTTTCACATATTCAGTAGATTATTATGTGGTAGACGAGCAAAGTTTTGTGTGACGGTGACACAGATTGTACATGGTTCTCTAAATAATTTATTAATAAAAATTCTAAATGTGTGGCATTTATTTGTGTGCAGGCTTATATTGGACCTGGAGATATTTTAGAAAGAAAAACTGGCAAATATTTTCTCCCAAGATGGGAAAACATGTAGAGACATACACCAAAACACTGAGGTCAAGTTTATTTGGATAGCACATTCCAGCAACAATGTAGATCAAAGTGCTTTTTTTGAAAGGAATAAATATTATATTTTGCCAAATACTATAATGAAAAATCATCTAGTAAATACACCTTAAGTATTCTGAACAGTGTTTTCCGCATTACTAACCAAAGGCAGCTCTGAACAGGTGGGATTTTAAATGTGATTTAAAATAATTCAGTGTTTCAGCATCTTTGCAGAATTTTGCTGATGTAGCAAAAGGTGGTTCTACAGATTTCCTCAGAGCAGAGGGAGGTAAATGCACTCCACACTTTTTAGATTTAGATTTCTTAGGAAATATGAAAAGTATGATTTTTTTTTTTTTTTTGACCACTTCTTTATTTTACTATCCTGAAAAATTCAAGCACATGTCCAAGTTTGTGGTTGCAAACATCTCTAGACGGCTCCAGGAATGAATGAGTGAAGGAACGAACGTGTTTTGTGTTTACTGGTAACTCTGGGGGCTCACAGGTGATCATGAACTGGTAAGCAGGGCACTGGGACACTGGGATTATTGCTGGCGAGCCTTTCCCCCACATGTACCTGTGATCGATCTCCCTGCTGTAAACTGCAGCAGCCACGTTTCTGGTCTTGACAAAATCGACGCCCATCTCGGAGTGGCTGTGCTCTTCTGGCCGATAGTAAACTCTCAGGGAATGCGAGAGCTTCCTGTTGACAGCCGGCATTAACTCATACAGATGGGTTCTGAAAGAGGAAATTTGGTCTCACCGCAGAAGCGCTGCAGCTTCAAGCGGTTTGTCTCCGACGGTCCACAACAGATTTGTAGTTCTGTATGGTATAGTTGGATGTGAGCTGCTTAATTTGAGGTTTGCTCGCGCGCTGCACGGTGGTGACTTCATTTAGTGTGCACTTGTTGTTGTTGTTGTTGGGTGCGTATTGTGAGTGAGGTAATAGGATCTGAAAGCCCTGCAGCAAAGCCAACACCACCTCCCTGTCTGAGAGGACAAACTGGTTCCCCCTTTATTTCCTCCACCGTCACCATCTTCATCTCTGTGAGGCGGATCCCTGGCCAGAGCAGCTAAAAGGGCTTTGATGATGCTTGCGGTTTCTCTCTTTGATTGCAAACAATTAATTAATTCAGTTCCACGCAAAGTAGATTATAGCTCATTTATTTGCGTGGCTGACCCCTCCGGCCCTGTAAACATCATGGTTTTTCTCCCACTGACCACCTTTGTTCAGGCTGACCCAACAGAGGTGGGTTTGTGCCAGCCTGTGCTCACAGCCTGCCATCTATGACTCCCCCCTGCACACACATGTTGATTTGTCTCTGATAGCCGCCCTCACTGCCGGCCCAGACGATGCACCGGCTTGCTGCTCCTAATCTGCCTCTGCGCTCGCGTAGCGGCAAATTTCGACGGGCAGCAGGTCCAGAGTGAAAGTGGATCGAGAACTAACTTCTCCGAGTAGAAAAACAAAAGAGGCTTAGGATTAATTCTCCAGCCTCCGCTCAGCCGTAACCTCTTGAAATACAACCCACGAAAGGAGCTGGGCTTCCCTGAATTCCTGGAGCTGCAAACCTTTTCATTACCTCTCTTTGTTTTGATACGCTGGATGTGTATTTGAGTTTAGCTATTAGCTGCTTCTGCTGTCTGTTTTAGTTTCAGTCATGCATAGAGAAACCACAGAGGCTGCAAATGTTTTAATAAATTTAAATTCTGCTTAATGTCTTTGCAACTAATTCAACACAGCTGATTTCATTCCACACTGAAAACTGTCTAATGATATGACTCATTAAACGTGAATAAAACGTCCCTGATTCAAACCCTGCAGACGTTTGTCAGTGCGTTGAGCCTCGACTTGGAGACATTTATCATTTAAACCCGTTCACTGAGGTAGCATGCACACCCACCCAGACATGCACAGTATTGTATGTCAGAGACTCCATATCCTTTCTGTGTGGCTGTTTGTGCTGTGGCCACTGGGCTTCAAAGGGGTGTTGACATTTGGCGCATGGTTGCTGCAAAAGCCTGACATCTCCTAGTGGTGGTGTGGAAGAATGCATCCCCAGCCAGTGTGGACTGGAGCTGGAAATGCTTGTGGTTCAATCAAAGGAGAGCGGGACGGTTTATAGAAACCGCTGGATTTAAATGGTACCACAAATCTTAATATATTACAGTTATATAAACAAAAATGTATCCTGGGACTTTGTCTCTGCGAGGAAAAGTTTGCCTCTTTCATTGAAGCGTTTAGAGCTGTAAGCGGAGACGAAACGAAGTTTCCTTTCAGATCTTCGCTTTCAGATGCTAAATCTATTCACCTTTGTTTTCCTTCTCATGTTTCAGTTCCATCTCCAGACAGGAAGGGGGCACTCCAACATCCACCACCCAGGGAAAGAGCGGGACTCATAAAATCTGTCTGGTGTGCTCTGATGAGGCCTCGGGGTGCCATTATGGAGTCCTCACATGTGGCAGCTGCAAGGTGTTCTTCAAGAGAGCAGTGGAAGGTACAACGACATCACTGATAATTATTAGCATTTGTGATTGCTGTGCATGTTGACCGAAACATGTCGATGTTGAGATACAAATTTATTTAACAAGTTGATCTTATTTTGCGTGCCTCAGGCCAGCATAATTACCTGTGCGCTGGGAGGAACGACTGCATCATTGACAAAATCAGGCGAAAGAACTGCCCGGCCTGCCGCTTCCGCAAATGCCTGATGGCCGGCATGAACCTGGAAGGTACAACCAGACAAACAGCCTCCGAAGCAGGTTGTACGTTCTTTTTTTTTTTTTTTAGTGCATAACCTTACCTCTTCCTGCATCTTTCCCCTCGTTTTCTGTCCGAAAGCTCGCAAAACAAAGAAGTTGAATCGCTTAAAGGGCAACCAGAACAGCAACCCGCCGGAGATGATGCCTTCGCCGCCGGTCGAGGCTCACTCGCTGGTGCCCACGTGCGTGCCTCAGCTCATCCCCACCATGCTGTCCCTGCTGAAGGCCATAGAGCCGGACACCATCTTCGCCGGCTACGACGGCACGCTCCCCGACACGTCCACGCGCCTCATGACCACACTGAACAGGCTGGGTGGGCGACAGGTCATCTCTGCCGTGAAGTGGGCCAAAGCTCTGCCAGGTTAGCGATGGGTGTAGCTGCTCGGGATAAAACGGTTGTCCGCTGCGGTTTGACTGATTCGTTGCTAGAACTTTAACACCGAGGCTGAACCCGGGTTTATGGGGCATATTTTTTTTCTGTCTCACCAGGTTTCAAGAACCTGCACCTGGACGATCAGATGACCCTGCTGCAGTGCTCCTGGCTCTTCCTCATGTCTTTCAGCCTGGGCTGGAGGTCTTACCAGCAGTGCGACGGCAGCGTGCTCTGCTTCGCGCCAGACCTCGTCATCAATGAGTAAGCACTGACTGCACACTTATTTGATATTTTAAATGCTAATAATGAGAGCCGGAGGGAGGCGAGTGGATGCCCCACAGGACGCCTTTTGTTTTTCCTTCCATAAACGAGCGAATCAATCACCTTGGTCTGTTATAACTGTCCAGACTTGAGTTGTCAGGATGTTTGTAGCAACAAGTTGAGGACTTTGGTTTATTCTGTTGAGGTTCAGAAATCTCTGAAAAGATTTTTTTTAATCCTTCCTGAGTCCAACTGTGTCTTGTTAACATAACATTTCACTGACAGAATCACTTTGCATGTGGTAAGTCTCCTCACAGATGACCTAACATGGAAAGATTAAAAATTCACTTGATTTATGGTGGAAATAGTACGTTGGTGTCGTTAAATTTCCTCTGGAAAATGTTTTAAATCTGAGTGTAGAGATCCTCAGAGCTCCACATGGTTCTGTGTGTGGGTGGCTCCAGTTCAGGCCGTCATGCAAAGTTGATCCAATTAACTTGTGGTTTCCAGTTTATGCAGGATGATGTTGCTCCAGTAACAAACCCAGATTAAGTCCACGTGCAATGCCGTTTCAAATACCCGAAACGCATCCGTGCACGAAGTTAGTTCTGACTTGCTCTGTTAAGCTCGTTTATTGTGACATAGATGTCCCAAAGTCTCAGTATTAGATTCATTTTTGTTGAGGCAGAAACACATGTAACAGTAGCAGGAATCTAGACTCTGTGCACTTCTCTTTTTCATTACAAATGCTTGACTTTCAACATGATGCCTCCAGTTTTGCTCCACCGCACCGGATTTAAAGCATGTGCAAGGGCAGTGCTCGGTTATATAACATAAGTGAAGCATTGATTCAGTTTATTCCCTTTTTTTATGATTGAGTAATTCAAGGAACCAAATAAATGTAGCTTTTCAGTGTGATTCTTTCAACAATTAAGCGTCACGGTTTTGTTTTGGTCCATGCAGCTTTCAGCTGTCTCTCCATGTTGAAACACTCAGAAAGCACTTAGTTGTGCTCAAAGGCTGCATGAAGTGTCATCCTTTATTTTTACAGTACACCAAAGTTGCAATGTCTGATTTTGCTTTAAGTTTTAATTTATTGAATAATCACCCAGATTCAGGTCCAGTGGGGCCAGCCAACCCCTGAATGAAGTTTGCGTGTTTTTACCCGTTTGCGTTTGAACTCACCAGGGAGCGGATGAAGCTGCCCTACATGGCCGAGCAGTTTGAGCAGATGCTGAAGATTTCCAGTGAGTTCGTCCGGCTGCAGGTGTCCCTTGAGGAGTACCTGTGCATGAAGGTCCTGCTGCTGCTCAGCACAGGTCAGACTTTTGCTGATAATAAATAATGCAAAGTGCATTTAGCATTTGTACCCCTTGTAATACATTGAAATCTTATGAGCACAAACTTGGGCATGTTTTAGTTTTCGTTATGAAACGAGCGCAACGTGATGTAAAATTGTGATGACAAAATTGCTTTTGAATTTGTTTGTTTTTTTGTTTTTTATTCAACATAAATTAGAGCAATACATTCCTTCAGTTTTCTGACTAGAAAAGGTTTCATCTTTCTTTCTAGCTTGTCTTGTCTAGTAAAACTGGAGCTACACCGAAAGTGGTTGGATTTGCATATTTTCCTGCGTCAGGTGTTCACCTTGAGTGTCCCCTCTCCCGCAGTGCCCACGGATGGCCTGAAGAGCCAGACGGTGTTCGACGAGATCCGCATGTCGTACATCAAAGAGCTGGGAAAAGCCATAGTGAAGCGCGAGGAGAACTCCAGCCAGAACTGGCAGCGTTTCTACCAGCTCACCAAGTTGTTGGACTCCATGCACGAGGTGCGGCATGCGACACACACACACACACACACACACACACATAGAATATTTGGATTCACATCAGCTGTAGAGAAAACCAGCAAGTGGTCATTATTGCCTTGTTTGATGACAGAGATTTTATCCCTGAGTCAGCCATTTTTAATTATTATTGAACAGGCTTTTCTAAAATAATTTTTAGTAAATAATTTCTGGGTTTAGGAAGAAATTACTCTGGCAGATTATTTCACTGTGACAGAAATAATCTTCCAGTGGAAGTAGCGCTTTTTCCATCAATATTAGAAAATATTGACTTGAAACAATCTCCTTTATGTTTTAGACTTTATTCCAAAATGGGATTAAGAGGCAAACTTAAAGAAGTAATGATTGGACAGATTGAAGGTTTACCCAGTACAAACATTACTATCATATTATCTTTTTTTTTTAACAACCAGTTTTAATGTTTGTTTTCTTTAATGTAAATTATCTATTTTTATTTTTAGGAATTAACAAGGTGACTTATGTTTCCAAATTGAGACTTTTGATTTTATTTGGGGATATCAAAGTAAAAGGCGCAGTGCACAATTAAAAAAAAAAAACATCATTTTATTTGTAAGTTACAATACTGGAAGCCATGTATATTTTCTTTCTCGCGACAATAATGCACTGCTTTGTGTTGGTCGGTTACATAAAAGCCAAGAAAATACATAAAATTTGACAAAACCTCGACAACAGTTCAATACACGTGCAAAACCCTTTTTGTTGCGCTGCGTCCACAGATGGGCAGCGGACTGCTCAGCTTCTGCTTCTACACCTTCGCGAACAAATTCCTGAGCGTGGAGTTCCCCGAGATGCTGGCCGAGATCATCAGCAATCAGCTACCAAAATTCAAGGCTGGAAGCGTCAAGCCTCTCCTCTTCCACCAGAAGTGACTGTTTCCCGTAGCAGCAACAATGCCTTAAACTCCCACCATGTCACCTCACCAGCCCGACAAAGCCTCCCCCACCCCTTCGCCCCCTCGGGAAAGAGCAACAACGACAGGACTTTACACCAGTAGGGAGCGGTGTTTTTTTCTAGCATCTCTGTGCAGCAGGCTGATGGGTCTGATGGGGTGGAGGTGGATGGGGGGGGGGAGAAGCAATGTTTGTGTAGGAACCAGACCGTGAGCACAAGACGTTTCGCTGTGTTGAGTAGTCTAAGATGTAGTGTCTGATAACGAATAGGAAACGTTTGTACAGCTAACGGCAAAGAGAAATAGGCTAAAATTCATGTTGTCTCAGGTGTCTTACCTTGAAATTCAGAGCGATATCTGAAATAGATATGACAAAATATCTATGTAAAGGTTCTGATAGTATTTTCTACATTTTCAAAGTAACAGTTTATACACTTTTCCAGGTCATCGTTGCCCAAAGAGGCAACAAATCGGAACAACACGCTCTTATTACGTAGGCTTTTTGTGTTCCGCTTTTAGTTTTTATAGGAGGTTGTAACGAAATGTTTTTTCAGCCGCACAGATACAACAACGAAAAGGAAAAAAAAAAACCAACAACAACAACAACAACAGTTTTCTAGTGATTTTCAAAAGCATATTTTATTTGCTTTGATTAACATATAAAGTCGTGTGGGCCGCTACCTGATGGAGTCCTCCCACAAGCAGACCTCTTCCAGGTTTACATGTCAACTACAAAAGGGAAAAAGATGTGCCTTTTTTGCTTCGAATATCATCTAAGCCATTTTTTTCCTGCTACACGTGAACCTCTCATCATCTACCTTCATTATAAGTTGATTGTACTTTTTTATATTACACGCAGTTGCAGCTTTTCTCTGTTCTTGTGGCTGTTTATCTTTACAAATGGCAGCTCGCTTCATCCTCTGTGTGTAGAAGTGTTGCTCTTGCTAAGAAATGATATTTAGCCTGTTTCCCTTCCCCGCGACCCGGCGCGCACGTCGGCGCGACCCGGCGCGCACGTCGGCGCGACCCGGCGAGTACTCGGCGCTCTGCGAAAGGCTTTACAAGACTGTGAAGATAGGCTTGGCTGTTGTATATCGGTCTTTGGAGAAAGACTTAAAAGATGGAAAGTGTGGACTGTTTTTTTCCATCTTGCCCCAGTAGTCTAATCTTAGAAAACAAGTGATGGATATGTGCGTTTCTCAATCACAAGTGAAAGGGCATGTATTGTTGTGCTTGCAAGTTTGTCGTTTTTTGATATTTGGAAGTACTAATAATATCTGTAGATTTATTACTGCTGGAAGTGATTAGAGAATAACCGTCCTGCACCCTTTCTCTTTTTTTTTTTTTTTTTTTTTTTTTTTTAAACAATCGTTTGGAATAAATAGTCGTGATTCCTCTGAAGACTCTTCCTCCGCAGTACAAACTTTGCTCTTTGTAAGAATTGGCTATGAGTACCTTTTATTCTTGAAACTGCGTACGTTTTGTTTTCTTTAAGGGATAGTTCAATTTTTTGGGGGGGGAAACCAGTGTTTTGCAAAGACACAGGTTGGTACTACTGTCATGTCTCTGCTATAAGCCCAAGTTAAGAACATGAAAAAGTGAATCATGACTGAAAGAAAGAAAGCTCTTACCTCTTGTTATCGACCATTTCTTTACTGAGACGAGAGGTCTGGCCTCCACCAGCTGACCATCCGTCTCTGTCTCGCACAATTGCAAGCAAGAGAGCTACATGATTGTAAATAAAAAACATTGATATGATCAATTAAAACTTAAGTTATCTTTATGCCTGATTTGATAGAGTTTTATAAATAAGTCGTGTTTTTGTTGTCGAGAAAATTCTAAATGAAGAATTGCACTTATAATATAAGATATGAATTTGAGTATGATGCAAATGCAATGACAATTTGGATTCAAAGTAATCAATAAACCTTCCCAGTCACAGGCGTGTAGATTACTGTACTGCTAAGCAGTGCCTTGAACTTATAAAATAGAGTTCTGTGCCATCCTTTCTGGTGTCTCATAGACCGCAGGATGTAAAATACTGTCAGATACCCAAAACTCGGAGCAGCGTGTAACGCAAAGGGCTTCCAGCACCATGTCAAATATATCCCAGAATCCCGCATCACTGTAGAGACATGATGTGTATTAATCTCAGGTCTTAGCAAGAACACAAAATATGATGGGGTTTTTTTTTCCCCAGAAATCAAATATAATCCTTTTCAACAGAATAAGCAACGGCTTAATGAATAAACAGCACTTTTGTTCAGGCGTTGGTCGATCATGTTAACCTCCCACAGACGCTGATAACTGATAAGTATCCCCACTGTGCTCTCTCTGCGGCCCAACTTGACCTAACGTTTGTGTGTGTGTGTGTGTGTGTGTGTGTGTGTGTGTGTGTGTGTGCCGCACCCTTTGCATGTGCTCTGATTGTCTGCTACGCAGCCGTGCCCCGACGACCCCCCGCCTCTTCCCCGCTGCGTTTCTTTTACCGCTCTTTGCATCAGTTACCACATCGCAGTGAAAAGGTTCTGACTGCAGAGGCAGGCAGAACTCATTGTTTTTATTCTCTGGGAACTCTTTTTGTGTTTTGTTTGCTTTTTTTTTTTCCAGTGCCAAACTCCTGTTTTTTTTTGTCTATTTTCAGGGATGCTAAAAGTTGGTCAGTATTTGTATTATTATTATTATTTTATTTTTTTAATTCTCAGACAAATCCAAGCATTAAAGCGTAAACACTTATCTGGCGGAAGGAGCAAGAAGCCCAGAGCTGCCTGACCTTCAGTCCGATGCGGTAACGGGGGAGTGCGCCGGTGTTTCTGAGTGCTGCGTTGCAACGTCTTTCTTCTAATCCGCGCAGCTTGTCGTCTGTTTGTCTCCTAACTCCCGATCTGTCTGTTCCTTCGAGATTTTACTATGAATGTGATACTTAGAGAGTTATCAATAAATTAGATATGAACTGTTATTTGTAGATATGTCGTGAGCTGCCAGAAAGAAACAAAATATGTCAAGTAAACAACTGCAAAGTGCTCACTTATATATATATAGTATATATAGAGAGAGAGATATATATCTAAATATAAAACATGGCAAAGCGAACTGTTTTTAAATGTTTATCCCAAATACATAAAGAAAAAGTACCTATATATGTTTTACTCTGCTCCAGAGCTCAGGTTTCAAAAACAGATGATCTGATTCACACTTGCGTTGATGTCCACCTTCTGCTCCGATGTGAAGAACCAAAAGCGTCCGACAGCTTCACACATGCGTGGTTACTTCTGTGTTTAGTTTTATTTTATTTTATTTTTAACGTTTTGTTATTTTTAAAAGTCAGTTGACAGATGTGCAAAGTTGTAAGGAATCTGCCTCCGCCGCTCATATACTGTCTGTAGACTCTAACAAACGTTCTGTTTTCCTCTGAGGTTCAACCAGAATAGATGAAAACCATCCTTGCTACCTACCTGTTTGAGGGTTACTTTCACATTCAGTGTATCCAAATCTCTGCTGCTGCTCTTCATCTTTACAAGTATATATATATATTTAGAGAGAGAGAGAAAGAAAGATAGATATATGTATATACATATAAATATATATGTAAGAAATTGCACACTTGCCTCATCTTGCCCAAAAATGTATCCCGTTTACATTTTTGCGCACAACTGAATATGCAATAGAAAAGACAGCTAATCTATCAACTTCACCTCGTTTTTTGTTTTCCTCGTTTTTTTAACACGGTATAAGCTACTTTCATACAGGGGATCTCACTTCTGACTTTTGTCTCTGCAGGCCAGATTTTCTTATATTCAGAAAATTGTAATCACTCACACAAACGACCTATTTAATGTTTGAGTACAAGGTGACCAAAGGCGACACATTACACACAATGTCAGTGTAAAACTCCAGAGCTCTGAGATGACAAACGCACAGCTCTATTCAGCGGGTCCCGCAAACCCATTTTTTGTTTCCCTTTGTTTTTGTTTTTTAAACAAGCCTTTGGTCAAATTGTGTGATACTGTGAATAGGATAGGACTTGGGCTTTTTCATACACAAAACTGTTTGTGAAAGTAATCAACCAGCTTGAATCTAAGAAATTGCACTACCCAAATATTGTTTGAAAGTCTATTTTGTATAAAACATATGCAGACAGAAACTATGAGACTAACAAAGGGCGGATCACGTTTCACTGGTGTATGTTTTCTCAGAAAAAGAAAAAAAAAAGAGCTTTTGTTTGTTTGTTTTGCCTAAAAAGTTTAATATGTACATATAATCCATTGTAAAGAACATGTGGTGTATTTGTCTTCAGATGGTTTTTCAGCACCTTCCCCTCTGTATTATTTCTCCTCTGTAGCGTGACTCTTGTCGATCTTTCTCCTCCATCGATTAAAGGTCAAATCGTACGTGTTTGTGTGGTACTTCTCCAATAAAAGCGTCCGAATGCTGACGTTAGCTCCATTCTGAACATTGGACATGGTAAGCTCGTTGTAAGCCCCTTAACTCCCCCCTTTTTTTTTTTGTTTTTTTTTTTTTTTATTTGTTTTTTTTTTTTTTTTTTTTTTTTTTTTTTTGGTGACAGCACTTCCAATAAAAAATTTTTTCTCCATTTCACACCTGGTTTATTGATTGTCGAGATGTCCTGAAACTGAACCTCAGCGCTTTTTAAAGATGCGAAGCAGAAGCAGCATAAAGGTACTCACACCTGATGAGGGAGCCGGTGAGAATCACGTCTGTTTTTAAAAAACACATTTTGAACACATAAACCAGCAATGAGTGGAGCACCCAGCATAAAGACAAATACATACATATGTCTTTATGAAGACAGCGTCCTTCAGGTGAGAAGAGCAACACAGTTCTGCCACGTAAACCACAGAATTAAATGGACTCCTTTAGTTTTCAAACCGAAATGAAGCGGTGGAACTATTTGCAAAGTGGAAGGAAAACGATTCACGAATTTCCAACAATTTTACAGACAAAAATGTGAAAAGTTTGGCATTCCTTTGTTCATCAATCTGATTCTGAATAAAATGAAAGAACAGCAAGTATATTTGTCCCACTGATCCCATTTTATGTAATTTAATCTGTCAAAATGTAGGTGTTCTGGGGAGGCCTGGGACTGTGCACCACATCCCTGCAGTGAAAAGTGGTGGCGGCGTCATGCTGTGGGGAGGTCACAGTTCAGTTGTTGCTTCAGCGGTGGAAACATACGACAGATGGACTTGATTTTTGTTATCAATTTTATTTGAGTAGCACTCGGCAAATAAGCATGATTGTGAAAACGAAGAATAAACATGACACTGCAGTGGCAAAATAAAGAGAAGTGATGGAAAAAAACAAAAAAAACTACTGTCCTTTGAAACTCAAGTTCTAGTGAAAACATCTGGATTAAACATCTGCAGCAGGTCTATTTTACATCCAGCCTGACCAGAGCAATGAGCTTCACTTCATGTCTTCCGCTGCTGCATGCATGTTGCATTTACAACTGCATTAAAATGCAACACAACATGCTTGTACAGGTGTCACACATCTGACCCGTTTCAGGGAGTTTTACTCCCAGTTGATTCATGACGGAAGGTGCATGTCGAGGCAGGAATCGGGAGCGCGCCTCGCTCGTTCTCGACGACACCAACAGCAGACCACCGCAGAACATACAGAACCACCACCACCCCCGGCCTCCCCCCACCTGCGACCCACCTGCCGAGCCCCCGCCGTCCAGAGGGCGATGGCGGACGAAGACGCGTTCGCGGCCGAGCAGCGGGCTTCTGACGGCGGCCTCGCGCTGCGCGACTACCGGCGGAAGACGCGGCTGTACTGCATGAACGGCGGGTACCACCTCCAGATCCTGGCCGACGGGACGGTGCGCGGCGAGCGGGATGAGCGGGACGATCACAGTGAGTGAGGCTGCCGCAGAAACGCTGCGCATTTTTTCATGCGGGTCAGGCCCGCAGCGTCACTTCCCTCTGGCGGCGCAGCGGACTGCAGCGCGGCCAACAAACCGGTGCAGTATATGGTGATTCAAGAAGTAAATCATCAAAAGATGATTATATATAGCCTATATATATATATATATATATATATATATATATATATATATATATATATATATATATATATATATACACTGTAAAAATAATTAGGGTGGTTAAACTTAAAAACTTGAGTAAAATTGCTGCCTTAAAAACACAATTTAGCACAACTTGAAATTATGTATTTTTCCAACTTAGGTTGGCAAGCTAGAAAAGTAGCCCAATTGCTTATAATTTGTTGCTTAAATATGATACCATAAGTTGAAATGACTAACTACAGAACATTATTCATTCTCAAAAATTGAGTACTCTTGTCAAGTGAAATTAAAATCATATTCTATTTGAACTCAAATAATTAAATTATACCACTTTTCTAACTAATGACTACTTGTTGTATGAACTTCATACTCTGAGTTTAAACACATTGCAAAGATACATTATCCATTCAGAAAACTTGTTTATTTTGTTAAAGTAACAAACAATTATATATACTTTCAACTCTCATTTTAAAGTTAAACTGACTAACTATATTCATACCAATTCCTTTTTGAGTTGATTTAACTTAAGAGTTTAAGGCAGCAATTGAACTTAAAATTGCAATTTAAGTAAACTAACATTTCCAAATATTGTTCACTTCCTCCACTAATAATGCCAAGTTCACCAGTTTTCCTAAAAATAATTACACCAAATACACTTCCATTTCAAATATTATACATTTATTTTTATCTTGCTCTATCAAATATGAGACAAGCCTTAAATCAAGTGTAAAAGAAACATTTGTCCAAGACAAGCAGAGGTGTTGACATTTATTGGAGGACCAAAATTGACAAAAACAGAAATCAATTTGACAAATAAAACAGAATTTTATTGAAATCTCAATAAATAAATGTACTTAAAAGGCTCCAATTAAGAACTTCACCAGATTAAAAACCACCATTGTGAAGAGTTAAAATTATTCTAAAAATGTAGGACACCAGCAGTGTTTCCATTTTAATGCATTTTTTTAATCATCAAATTCTTAAAATGTCAAAAGAAATGAAAGAAAATGCAAATCAGGCATGTTTCCATCAACTGGCTTTTAGCAAAATTAATAAGGATACACAAAGTAATTACATCGGAATTTGATGTTATGCATGGCTGTGGTACACAGGAAGTGATGTCTCTTAATAAGGACTAAAAATATGTTTTTGCAAACACAAATGCTACAAAAAGATTTTAAAGAAATGATAGCAAGAAAGAGAAATAGGTAAACATGTAAACAGTTTTTGTAAGAAATTTTGTTAGTCTTACATCACACATCCTGATGACAGTTGATGGATCTTCGCCAGATATGTAGCGAGGCAAACCAAGCAGAGCAGCAGCCCTTCTCCTTTCATTTGTGTCCTGCAAGAGATGAGACATGCAGTAAAATTAATATATTTTAACAAAATTAACAAATTATGCCTTGTTTTCTAGCCATCTTCAGTCCTGCTCACATCTTTTGCAAGGCAGTCCAAAATGTCTTTGAGTGGCTGCTTCTTTCCAGATTTGGTTGCTGCTTTGTAGACCTCCAGCAGTCTCAGAACCAGGCCATCAAGTCAGTCAAGAAAAGATTTCAGAAGGTCTGTGGTGACGATTCTTGTAAATTCTGCCCTAATCTGAGGAATAGAATACATAGAATATAAACTTTGTCTCAATAGGACAGTTAACTCAGTATTAAATCACTAAATGTCTTGGTGGAACGAATTCAGTTATGCGATTACGTGTCTCTCATGGAACAGAGCAGGCCATCGGGAGATGAGCTCTGTGATGTGTGGTTGATCTCCTACAATGTCTTTCCTACACTGAGAAAATGTAGCAACCATCAAATCCTCAAGCAGCTGATGATTTGGGTCTTTCTTCTGCATTTCAGCCTCCATTATCTTGCGCTTCACCTCCATGTTTTCAGGACTGTGTCCTTCAGATGGATCAGGACAGAAGTTCACCTCTCCCTTCTTTGACTTTTTGACAGTTTCCCCTTTTGAAATTCCAGATTTTCTTTTGTTTGAGACCACTTCAGGTATCGTGCTGACTTAATTTTTGCCTGTATTTCCCATTTTAAATTTCAAACTGTGAAACCATGAGTGCCATCCCTTTTCTGACCCTGGGTCTCGCAGACACCTGCACAAAAAACAAAACAAAAAAAACCCATACATTTCAGATTATGGTATTTAAAAATATAAAGTATTCATACATACAAATTCCAGTTTTGCCACTTAATTAAAATAACTTGACTAAAATGTTATCTTCATCAGCTTCATTGTCCAAAGTAGAGGTTCCAAAGTTTTCAGAATTTGACCTGCACAATAACAGTAACACAGACTGTCCCCAATTTATTGTAAATGATATACCTTGATATTGGGTCAAGTGAAGGACAACAAAATTAATTTTGCTAGTTTAATTCATTGTAAGGTGACACACTTTACTAACAACTAAATCAATAGTCATTTTTAAACAGTAATCAAATCGAAAAAAGATTTTTCAGAACCCCTCCTCCATGTTTCAGGACCTACAGTGGGGTCCTGACTATTTGGAAGCCACCAAAGCTCCTTGATATGCGATAGTCTTGGGCACGCGCCCAGCCTGAGCTAACGCTTGATAAATAATTACTGTAAAATTCAGAATACAGTTTAATCAGTAATAGCTGCTGGAGATAGTTTGCATTTTTCACCGGCAACCAGAAAGGGACACGCATGCGCACGAACACACGAAAGAAAGGATACGACTAATTACTGACAAGAAACAGACTAATTACTGGCACAGCCTTTCCCGAAGCCGCTAACTCGTCTGCAGTTAGCACGTCGATGCAGAACTTTGACCAAGAGCCACATATGCATTTCTGAGGAAGTGTACAATACAAAAATCGTGGAAGCTGCTTGTATTTTCCCTTAAAAAAGTTCTAGAAGCGAGTAGCATACTGCGTTTAGCTAGGCTCAACTGCATTAACTAACTGCCGCCCTCAATTAGCAAGCTGTTTTATGTCCTGTGTTTAAATATGTAACACAAACTTTTAGCTCTTAACATATTTGAAAAATGGATGGCATTATCAAAAAAACGACAAAATGCAGCTTACCTTACATTTTTATCTCTCCAGCTCGCTTCGCATTTGGAAAAAATGTCCCGCCGAACTTGAACGCCTTTAGGACCGAGGTCTCGGAAAAAATGGTATTCATCCGCGAGGTGTTTTCGACGTCCTCAATGTGGTCAGCTGGTGTTCCTCTTCTTCATTTAATATGCGATTCTAACTGGGATGGAAAACTTTAGAACTTCTGACTAAATTTCACCTCATATTTAGTCCCTTATCAGATAAAGAGCGAATTCCCGGCACTATTTGTATCTCGCATTAATATTGCCTGTGGTGATCAGTTTTTATAAGATCCGGTTAACATTTTAAAACTCAGATTGTCAAGTTATGTTCACACGTTTGAATTTTAGGTTTCACTGAACTGACTCACATCCTCGAGTTGAAATGAAAATAACTCATGAAATTAAGTTGACATTTCATAACTCATTATGTTAATTGGAACTAACTTATAGAAATACCTTATGTCAACTAATCGTGAGTAGGACTTTTTACAGTGTATATATATATATATATATATATATATATATATATATATATATATATATATATTATATATATATATATATATATATGCTCATTGATCACATGCTCTGACTAACAAATGAAGAATAGCCTCATTTATCTTTAAAGGCCTTCTTTGGGGTGCCAGTAATTCAATCGGGAGAGACTCAGATGAGAATGAAAGCGATTAGAAAAGTTAGTTAAGTCTTTGGCGCTCGGGCCCCGGCTAAGGACATCGAGCTGACGCGATAAGCTCGGATGAGCATTCCCGATGCTGATAGGAATGACATCCCCCCGGGACCCGGCCTGGTGGTGGAGGTCGGTGAATGAGTATGCCTGGGAGCCTGGACGATGGAGGTGGAGAAGGGGTGGAGGTGGGCTGAGCGCAGACTCGGGAGCGTCTGATGGGGAAGGAAGGGTTGAGGACACGGCAAAGCAGCTGTACGCAAGGAATCACCAAGAAAGGGATCCGCTGGGATGGTTTGCTGGGAAGCTGGGACGTGCGACTGAACGTGTTGAGCACAGCAGCGAAACGGGGGGCACTTTGGATGGACGACCTTATGAACTGAGGCGTGGTCGGTGATTGGCTGCGACATGGCTAAGTCTAGCGATGATAGGTCGTCAGTGATTAGCGGGAAGCGCCTACTGAAAGCTGCGGGTGGGGCTAAAGAGTCTTCCAGATTGAATTTACGCCTAGGCTTCATTTCAATCGGGAGAGACTCAGATGAGAATGAAAGCGATTAGAAAAGTTAGTTAAGTCTTTGGCGCTCGGGCCCCGGCTAAGGACATCGAGCTGACGCGATAAGCTCGGATGAGCATTCCCGATGCTGATAGGAATGACATCCCCCCAAAAAGGGAGGCTGAGGCCGGGGCCGAGGCCGGAAGTGGGAAAGTAGAGAAAACGGGATGAGCTAAGCTAACTCAGGATTACAGGCTGGGACCATGTGAAGCTTTTAGATGAAGGCCAGTGAGGGGACACCACGGGGCGTAGAATGGCCCGTTGATTCATCTACCGGGAACTGGTAGATGAAGGCCAGCTAGGAACGAGGAGGGCGCAGGTTGCTGCTAGATAAAAGGCGGCAGAGGGCACGGCAGCGTGAGGGAAGATAAAATGCTGGTGGAAGAAGGCCAGCTAGGGAAAGCCAGCTAATGAAAGCGATTAGAAAAGTTAATTAAGTCTTTGGCGCTCGGGCCCCGGCTAAGGACATCAGGCTGACGCGATAAGCTCGGATGAGCATTCCTGATGCTGATAGGAATGACG